GCCCACCCCACCCAGCGCTGCTTTGGCCGCCTGACGGACGCGTGGCGTCACCAGTTCCCGGAGGCCTCAGAGATCCCTCGCTGGGGCGAGCTGTCCAGGGCGGGTGTTGCCATCTATGATCTTGACTTTGATGCTATTCTCTCTGCCATGTATGCTGTGTCTATTAGTGATGAGGGTGACTGTTACCGGTGTTTCCCGCCCGATCCGGGCATTGAGACTGCTGCGCTAGGTCCTGGTGAGGCTGCTGCCCTAGGTGCTTGCAACGCTGCTGCTCTAGGTGCCCGTGTGTCTGCGTCCTCAGGTACTGGTGAGTCTGCGCTCTCAGGTACTACGTCGGCTTCGGCCTCCCTCACCTTCACCCTTGACTCTGGGGCGTCTCGCTCCTTCTTTCGGGACTGCACCACACTCACACCGCTGAGTCGGCCGGTTGCAGTGTCTCTGGCTGACCCCTCTGGGGGTCCTGTCCTGTCTCGCTTCTCCACAGTCCTCCCGTGTCCGGCGGCTCCCTCTGGCACCCTGTCTGGTCTCTACCTCCGCTTGTTCTCTACGAACCTGGTGAGTGGTGCTGACCTCCAGGATGCGGGTGTACACCAGTTCACTCCTGCGCGTCAGCGGGTGACGCACTGTACAGAGGCTAGCACAGGCCGACACCTGGCTACGTTTACCCGTCAGCCGGGGTCGAGCCTGTACACACTGACCACTCCGTCTCCTCCCGTTACTGAGTCTGGTAGAGTCGCTTCGTCGGGTCGGGTGTTTGCTGGAGCGTCCAGGTCTGGTCCTGAGTCTGCCCCCTGTTCGTGTCGTCTCCTGTCTCACGAGACTCTCCTCTGGCATCACCGTCTTGGTCACCCCTCTCTGCTTCGGCTCAGAGGCATGGCCTCCCGTCTTCTAGTGTCTGGTCTCCCCCGGTCCCTCCCTCCCCTTCCTCAGGGCCCTGGCCCTACCTGTGTCCCCTGTGTCGAGGGGCGCCAGCGTGCTGCCCCTCACTCCTCCCAGTTTCCTCCGACAGAGGCCCCGTTGCAGACGCTTCACATGGACGTGTGGGGCCCAGCCCGCGTCCGTGGGCAGGGTCACGAGCGCTACTTCCTACTCGTTGTTGACGACTACTCGCGTTACACCGCAGTCTTCCCCTTGCGCAGCAAGGGTGATGTCACTGCGGTGCTGATCGACTGGATCCGCGCAGCTCGTCTCCAGCTCAGGCAGAGCTTTGGCTCCGACTTTCCTGTTCTGCGTCTGCACTCGGACAGAGGCGGGGAGTTCTCCTCTGGCCTTCTGCGAGCCTACTGTCGTGCACGAGGCATCCGTCAGACCTTCACGCTTCCGGACTCTCCGCAGCAAAATGGGATTGCTGAGCGCCGCATTGGCATGGTCATGGACGTCGCTCGTACGTCTATGATGCATGCGGCTGCCCCCCATTTTCTGTGGCCGTTTGCGGTGAGGTACGCGGCGCATCAGATCAACCTTCACCCTAGGGTCTCCACGCCGGAGACCTCCCCAGCCTTGCTGTGGACGGGGAAGGTTGGCGATGCGTCGGCGTTCCGGGTCTGGGGATCTCGGGCGTTTGTCCGCGACTTGTCTGCGGACAATCTGTCCCCTCGTGCTGCTCCTTGCGTCTTCCTGGGGTTCCCCCCCGACGCGCCTGGGTGGCAGTTCTACCACCCCACCTCTCGCCGTGTTCTGTCCTCCCAGGACGTCACGTTCGACGAGTCGGTCCCCTACTACCGCCTCTTCCCCTACCGCACTCCGTCCCTCCCCCCGCCCCCGCTCTTCCTTGTACCAGGTCCCCCCCCGGTAGACCCCCTCCCCCCTCAGGGTCCTGCCCCTTCAGGTGTGTCCCAGGTAGACGCAGTCGAGCCTGTCGAGGTCACTGGTGACTCTGGTGCTGCTGAGGGTGCTGAGCCTAGGGGTGCTGAGACTGGGGGTGCTGAGCCTGGAGGTGCTGAGCCTGGGGGTGCTGAGTCTGGGGGTGCTACGCCTGGGGGTGCTGAGCCTGGGGGTGCTGAGCCTGGGGGTGCTGAGTGTGGGGGTGCTACGCCTGGGGGTGCTGGGTCTGGGGGTGCTGAGCCTGGAGGTCCTCCGCCTGGAGGTTCTCCGCGTGCTTCGTCTCGTCGGGAGCCACTCTCTCCACACGAGCTGCGCGAGTGGTTTGCCCGGCGCTGGAGCCGTGCTGCTGGTGCTGGAGGTTCTTCGGCTACTGAGGGTGCTGCTGTTGCGGGTCCCGGAGGTGCTCGTACTGGGAGTACTGGAGCTGCTGGGCCTGCAGGTTCGACTGGAGCTGGTGCTGCTGAGGGTGTTGGCGCTGCGGCTACCACTGGTGGAGCTGCTGGAGGTGCTGCTGGAGCGGGTGCTCCTACTGGGGGTACTGGTGCTGTCCCTGCTGTTTCTGGCGTCGCTACGCGGCCTCGACCGTACTTCGTTCCACTCCTGCAGCAGGTTCTTGGTCTTCCGCCTTCTGCTGGTCCTCCTCCTCCCTTGGAGGGTCCACAGCCTGTCCCGTCGCAGTCACAGCTCCAGCCTACCTCCCCTTTGCCTGCTCCTTCTCCCTACACTGGTCCTACTGGAGGTCTTACTGAGCGTCGTGAGCCTGCGTCTCGCCCTGCGTCGCCTGTCCGTACTGCTCGCGCTAGTGGTCGTGGTTCGCGTCCGCGTCCTCCTCCTGTCCCTGGCACGCACCGGATGTCTCTGCGTCTGTCCACTGCTCCTCTGCGTGCCCCTTTGCCTTCTCCTCCTGAGTCCTCCCTTCCTGCTCTTCCCGACCCGGAGTCGGACTCTCTTCGTGCTGCCAGTCCTACTGTCACGCGTCTCCTTGCTACTGCCGTCACTGACCCTTCTTTCGAGTCTACTGCTGCGTCTGCCCTAGTTGCTGAGCTCGTCGACTTTGCTGCTCGCTGTCGCCTAGACTACGCTGCTAGTCTTGTTGCTGAGTCTGAGTCTGTCTGTCCTCCGTCCGTCGGGGGTGAGTGTGCCCTTGGCACGGACGTCCTTGAGGACAGGCAGGAGGAGTTCCAGTGTCTGGCAGCTGCTTCACCTCATCTCGTGTCCGTACTGCTTACCCCTGAGGGAGACCCGGATGCACTTGACATCCCGACTCCGCGCTCTTACGCGGAGGCGATAGAGGGTCCCTACTCCTCTCAGTGGCAGGCAGCTATGGATGCAGAGATGGCTTCCTGGAAGTCCACAGGCACCTACGTTGACGCTGTCCCCCCTCCTGGGGCGAACATCGTCAGTGGCATGTGGATCTTCAGGGTGAAGCGGCCGCCGGGTTCTCCGCCTGTCTTCAAGGCTCGTTACGTGGCTCGTAGCTTCAGTCAGCGGCAGGGAGTTGACTACTTTCAGACCTTCTCCCCCACCCCGAAGATGACCACTCTTCGGGTACTGCTACACGCTGCTGCTCACCGTGACTACGAGCTGCACTCTCTCGACTTCAGCACTGCTTTCTTGCAGGGCAGCCTGCACGAGGAGATCTGGCTGCGCCGCCCACCTGGCTTCACTGGGTCTTTCCCTCCTGGTACCCAGTGGAGTCTCCGGCGTCCAGTCTACGGTCTCCGCCAGGCGCCACGTGAGTGGCACGACACACTGAGGACTACGCTTGCGGCTCTTGGGTTTGCTCCTTCTACTGCCGACCCGTCGCTGTTTCTGCGCACCGACACCTCTCTGCCGCCGTTCTACATCCTCGTGTACGTCGACGACTTAGTCTTTGCCACAGCTGACACTACTGGACTCGCCCACGTGAAGTCCGAGCTGCAGAAGAGACACACGTGCACAGACCTGGATGAACTGCGCAGCTACCTTGGCTTGCAGATCACCCGGGACAGAGCACGCCGCACCATTACCCTGACTCAGTCACACATGGTGCAGCAGGTCCTTCAGCGCTTCGGCTTCACGTACTCCTCGCCTCAGGCCACTCCTCTGCCTACTCGCCACTCACTCTCAGCTCTGCCTTCGGATGAGTCCGTAGAGTCGAGTGGCCCGTATCCAGAACTTGTTGGCTGCCTCATGTACCTGATGACCTGCACACGACCTGACCTTGCATACCCTCTTAGCATTCTTGCACGCTATGTTGCTCCTGGGAGACACCGACCAGAGCACATGGCTGCTGCGAAGAGGGTGTTGCGCTACTTGTGCAGTACGTCGGGCATGGGGCTAGTGCTTGGAGGGCGGAGTCCAGTGGTCCTCACTGGGCACGCGGACGCTTCTTGGGCTGACGACCAGGCTACGCAGCGGTCGTCACAGGGTTACACTTTCAGCCTCGGTTCCGGCTCTGTTTCGTGGCGGGCTACTCGCTCGTCTTCTGTTCTCGGCTCCAGTTGTGAGGCTGAGATCTACGCCGGGGCCATGGCTGCCCAGGAGCTTCGCTGGCTCGCCTACCTGCTGACCGACCTTGGAGAGCCGCCTCGTTCTCCTCCAGTTCTGTACGTAGACAACAAGGCCATGCTGGCCTTGTGTCGAGAGCAGAGACTGGAGCACAGAACTAAGCACATTGCTCTTCGCTACTTCCTTGCTCGTGAGCTACAGCAGCGTGGTCAGTTGCGGCTTGCGTACGTGGCCTCTGAGGCCAACACTGCTGATGTCTTCACCAAGGCTCTTCCGCCTTGTGATCATCAGCGCTTCTGCACTCAGCTGGGTCTTGTCCCTGTCTTGCCTCACTTGCTCACCCCTTGACCTTGCTTGTACTGTTACATATATATATACCTGCTCTTGCTTGTCTAGCCTTATCTATATATATATGTACTCCTGCATGTGAACTGGCCTTCTGGCCTTGAACTTGTGCTCAGAATGTGTGGTGACGTTGTGATCCACCCTGAGCTTGCCTTGCTTTGCTTTGCTTGACTGGTCTTGTGACCCCTTGTTCTCCCCCACTTTGCCTATGGGGGTGTGTCAGAACGTTATAGCATATACTTTTGTGTAGGCTGTAGTGGGGTATCCCACAAGGGGTACAACCCAATTAGGGTTAGTACTTGTACCCACTTCATTCATAGTTCATTCACTCTTGTTTCTTCTCACTCCATGTCCAGGATGGACGCGGGCCACAGTAGCGCCACCAGCAGCAGGAAGAACACGCGCTGCTTCTCCACCTCGCCGCGCAGAATGGCAAGGTTGATGCGTGAAGGCGGGCCTGGGGGAAACGGCACAAACCCCACGATCTTCACAAGCTCGTCAAACCCATCAGAGTGTGGCGGGAAGACAGAGAGGAAGCGGTTGAAGAGGACGTAGAGGGGGCGGTAGGCGAACTTGGCGATGAGGGCAATGGAGGGCAGGCACAGGTTGAAGTCGCGCCAGCAGTGGATGCACTGGGCGCACGCCGGCGCACTCATCACCTGCCCGGCCGCCTGCACAAGGTACTCTGCATCCATCACGCACCGCACGATGGGCAGCTTGCTCATGGCAGGCGACCATGCAGCAGCCGTGCCGGCTGCATCAGAAATGGCCCTCTGCTCTTCGCCAAACCCTCTGTTTGTGTCACCCCCACTGCTGTCACTTCCTTGGCCTGGTGCCTTGCCTCCTCGCACCTTCCGCCTCATGTGCTTCCCCCCACACTTTGATGCTTCTTCTGCTACCCTCTGCTCACTCGCCACTCCCCTTGTACTCTCCTCCACAATGCCCAGCTGGTAGAATCTCGCGTCGGGATCATCAGGAAGCTTCAAAGCAGCTTCATCGCCATGTGGCCATTCCTGCCACTCTATCAGAAAATTAGCATCATCGAGAGGCTTAGGGATGGCATCGAGCCTCAGCAGCATGTTAGATGCTAAGGACAGAGTCTACGAAGATTAGGTGCTTAAATTTCTCAAAATCGTTGGCTTAAAATTCTGGACAGAAACGTCGACTTCACAAGAAACGCCGTCGACGAAAGGTGCACCGTTAAAACTTCACCAAACTCATGTTGTAGCTCTAGTCCGTGGCTACAATTCCCAATTTGAATCGTACGATAAGATGAAGTATTTCTTGAGTTATGAATTTCGGCGCACTAGGGGGTAAGCTGCAATAGAATCTTAACTCAATCACAATAGTCTCACACAAGTTCACACAAGAGAGTTAGAGCAGCACTAAACCAGGTGGAAGGGATGAGGAGGACGAGAGGGAAGGTCCCAAGAGAGTCCCCAACCAAGGAAACCCCATGCCACACAATTCCCTTCCCCATAGGCAACCCAACTTTGACCTTTGTCACTATCCCAACCTCCACAATCCACCTCAACCCAACTTGGCCACACTTGCCAGCCTGGTTTGGTTTCTCCCAACCATTTGGCAGCATCTACAGTGATGTTGGCGAATTTCCCAACCCCCAGAAGTCTATACCCCTTATGGAGTCAACCCCACAACTTCCCATAGTCACCACAACCAAATATCAAAAGCATACGAACTTCCAACGTTCGTAACTTTCTTGTTCGTGCTCCGATTGAAGCGATGCTTGGTTCGTCGGAAAGCTCTTGAGCAGAGGAGTCACTTCAGATATCTGCTAAAGCCAAATAACATTCACACACACTCAGAAAAACCAAACCGCACAAAACACAAATTCTTGCACACGCTCACACCACGCATGCAGCGCACGAACACATGATGGGAGGCAGACAGACGAGAATGCATATGATTGCATCACACAACACAGCAAGCTCAGGAGGAGTCGAAAGGGATGGGGCATTTGCAGGATGTCTTTCTGTGGCCTGCTCCTGCAGCATCGGTCCACCAAGACAACATCTGAGCCGTAGAATCGAACCCACTGTAAGATGCGTGCAAGTCGGTATGTGAAGGCTGCGAAGATAGGATTCGTGTTGACAGGCACTAACCCAGGATTGTAGCTGCCACAAGTGCCACCTACTCGTGCACAAGGCCGGGTTTCGTAAGCAGCGGCTGATGCTTCAGCTGCCCCACTCGTGCTCGCTGCTGCCCCACTCGTGCTTGCCTGCTGCTGCCCCTTTGTTCTCAGCCTGCTCCGAGCCTCCTCGATGGCAGCCTCTTCCACCTTCCCCTTGGCCGCGTTGTTGCCATCCATGATATACATGCACGTGTCAGCACACCTCTCTGACTGAGACAGCGCCGTGGCTAGAGCAAGAGCCAAGTCCGTGGCGCTCACCCCACTCACATACATGCCCTTGGGGGCACCTTTCACCTGCTCGTCACCACCATTGCTGCTGCCCTCCTCACTGCACTGCCTGCCCTCCTCACTGCACTGCCTGCCCTCCTCACTGCACTGCCTGCCCTCCTCACTGCAGTGGCTGCATCTAAACTCCCTCCCCCCCCCCTCTCCATGCTCCAGAATCCAAGCCATGCCATCCACATACCTCTCCCACTCACGCCCCTTCAGATTTTCCCTCCACTGCCCATTCCTCCCCCCTCTGCCCCTCTGCTGCTCCCCAGCACCTCCATGAGCCGCGCCGCTGCTGCGTCGCTCGTCCCCTCGTCTCGCCGCGCTGCTGTGCGTTGGATCCGCTACGTGACTCGCACCGCCACCATCAACATGCATGACAATCAACCGGACGCCCCCGCGCTCCTCCTCATATACCACGCGCCCACGCCTATTCATCACCTCACAATCTGCCTGTCCCTCCTCCCCCTGCGCCTTCTCAGCATCCTCGCCCCCCCGCCCTTCCTCTCCCGTTTTCCTCGGCATGCGCCTTCTCCACCCCGCCTGACAGCACGTGTTGCACGAAGAACCCAAACCCCTCCTGCAGGTCAGCGCGCTCCTTCACCCCCAGCACCTGCACTAGCATGGACGCGAAGCAGTCGCTCTCCACCTGCCTGCCCGCGCCCAGCTCGCCCGCAATAGCGGGATACACGGCGGCGTCGCCACCGAAGATGATGAGGTTCACCACGCGCGGGCACCTCGCCACCAGCGCCAGGAAGGCCGCGAAGCTCACAGCACGGCGGTAGGCCGCCCAGCGAGTCGCCCACGTGCCACTGCCAATGGCAGCAGCAGGGGCAGCAGCTGTTCTGGGAGCAGGTGCAGCTGTAGCGACATCTGTAGCGGGCAGGATGGCGGGCAGGCGGGATCTGATTCGTGCCAGGTCCATGAGCACGCCCACACAGGGCTCCGCCATCCACTCGAGGATCATCGCCTCGACGGCGCGAATGGGCGCCACGGCGCACTTGAAGCCGAACAGCCCCTCGCCGCACCACCGCTCCACCCGCTCCAGCGCCGCCATGGGCACTCGCGCCGAGTACTCCACGATGGCGCTGCATGGTCGCTCCTGGGGAGCAAGCGGGGTGGAGTCGAGCAGCGGCGTGCGCATCATGGAACGGAACTGCGCCAGGTCGACGATGCCGAGCGCGCGCTGTGCGCGGTAGCTGACAGCGCGGTCGTAGCAGCACTCGCACTCGTGCCGCTCCCATGCGCCGCTCACATCCACGTAATGCACTATGTCCGCCTGCGACATCACCTGAAACTTCTCGGATCCTTCCTGAGCCCCTGCTCTTCTGCCGCCCTTCCTTCGTCGTCGCAGTGCCGTGCCTGGGTCACCCTCAATGCCGTAGCGGAGCCACTGCCCCGTCATCTTCACCAGGTGTATCCATTCCTCAATCAACTCCTCGTCAATGCTCGTGCTCTCCTCCTCAACTTGGGTCGCGGACAGAGGCACAATCACAGCGGCCGATGCACCAGGAGGCACGTCCAATTGGTACTGCCCACGTGTATCGTCATCGCCACCTGCTCCTCCCCCATCTACACTCCTCACACAAAGCATTTCCTCAATCGTCGTACCCGTGTTTCAAGCTTTGCTTGCCGCACTTATTTTGCGGCGGATGGCAGAGAACTCAAATGAGGAGCTCATGCGTCTGATGCGCAGAGACGGACTTCTATCGCCTTTCTCACACCTGTTTTCACCCTGCTGCTAAGTCTCGCAGGCGGTAGACGGATCGGACGGAGTGACACTGATGACTGAGCTTCTCTTCAGGAATGTCAGCAAGCAGAACCTTGTGAAACAGACGTCTACCGAGTTTCTCTGTTTTGTCTGATCGTCGGATTTCGAGTCGCACCTTGTAAACCATGTCCGAAGTAGTTCGATTTGAGACGTGCCACATTTGTTCAGCTATTTGTTCACACTTGCATCGCATCAGCATCAGGGGTCCTTCCCACTTGTCACAAGTGAAGTGATGTGGCGAAGTTGCTCGTGAGTGTAACTTCAATTGGTATTGGCTGGTAGCTCGAACTTCCACTGGCTCCGGCGAATGGGGAGCGACTTCTGTGCGACATCCAAATGGCACGGCGAAACTCCAAGGATTGATGTGGCGAAGGGAGAGAGACCTACAGTATGTGTCTCGTTTGAGAACAGAGCAAATGCGGTTCTAGTCTCAAGTTGCATATTTTACCGGACCTTACTGTATTCTAACGTAGCATGTAAATCAATTTTGATAACAACTTAGTAACCAACAAATCTGGAAAATTGCAATCCTGATCAGCAGTGTTTCATTCAAAACAGTATATATTAGATGCATTACTTCTTTCAAGTTGATATTACAGATTTACATGATTTTTTTATTGGCAAATGTTAAATCTTTTCTGACATGCATTGTGCTATACCTGATACACTGGCACATTAAATGTTAAAACTCTTCTGACATGCATTGTGCTATACCTGATACACTGCTACATTAAATCGAATCAAACGCATGAACATACCTTTTTTCCATGCAACCAGCCTAGTACATCGATAACTACCTTTTTTAAAGGGGTGTTAGTTCGATTTTGGGGCCAGTGTAAGCATACAATAGCATTTTCAAATGTGAACAACACCATTTTCACGCGTGCACAACACCGTTAGTTATGCACATGTTTTCTGTACTCAACTCACTTGGTTGATCGAATCGAGCGGAAACAAAATTTGCAGTGCGAGGCATGTGATGCAGAGTGAGGCAGGCTCCTCACACGCCAGAATTCATCGACTGCAGTGCAGCCCTCCAGGCTTGCCCGACAACCTTTCAACAGTGACGCGCTCCATAAAAAAAAAAACTCATTTAGTATCACCTTGTTATACGTAGATCAGAAAGGGAAATTGGGAGACAGGGGGCAACAAGAAGGCATCACAAGGACACTTGGGGTAACATTGGGATATGGGAATCTTGGGGAGGCATGGGAAAAAAACGAAGGCATGGGGAAACAGGGAGGCATGGGAAAAAGCGGAGGCACGGGGAAACAGGGAGACATGGGAAGCAGTGAATGACATGGGAAGCAGTGAATGACATGGGGAAGCAGTGAATGACATGGGAAGCAGTGAATGACATGGGGAAGCAGTGAATGACATGGGGAAGCAGTGAATGACATGGGAAGCAGTGAATGACATGGGGAAGCATTGAATAGCATGGGAAGCAGTGAATGACATGGGGAAGCAGTGAATGACATGGGGAAGCAGTGAATGACATGGGGAAGCAGTGAATGACATGGGGAAGAAGTGAATGACATGGGAAGCAGTGAATGACATGGGGAAGCAGTGAATGACATGGGAAGCAGTGAATGACATGGGAAGCAGTGAATGACATGGGGAAGCAGTGAATGACATGGGGAAGAAGTGAATGACATGGGAAGCAGTGAATGACATGGGGAAGCAGTGAATGACATGGGAAGCAGTGAATGACATGGGAAGCAGTGAATGACATGGGAAGCAGTTAATGACATGGGGAAGCAGTGAATGACATGGGGAAGAAGTGAATGACATGGGAAGCAGTGAATGACATGGGGAAGCAGTGAATGACATGGGGAAGCAGTGAATGACATGGGGAAGCAGTGAATGACATGGGAAGCAGTGAATGACATGGGAAGCAGTGAATGACATGGGAAGAAGTGAATGACATGGGAAGCAGTGAATGACATGGGAAGCAGTGAATGACATGGGGAAGAAGTGAATGACATGGGAAGCAGTGAATGACATGGGGAAGCAGTGAATGACATGGGGAAGCAGTGAATGACATGGGAAGCAGTGAATGACATGGGAAGCAGTGAATGACATGGGAAGAAGTGAATGACATGGGAAGCAGTGAATGACATGGGGAAGCATTAAATAGCATGGGAAGCAGTGAATGACATGGGGAAGCAGTGAATAACATGGGAAGCAGTGAATGACATGGGGAAGCAGTGAATGACATGGGAAGCAGTGAATGACATGGGGAAGCAGTGAAGGACATGGGAAGCAGTGAATGACATGGGAAGCAGTGAATGACATGGGAAGCAGTGAATGACATGGGAAGCAGTGAATGACATGGGAAGCAGTGAATGACATGGGAAGCAGTGAATGACATGGAAAGCAGTGAATGACATGGGAAGCAGTGAATGACATGGGGAAGCAGTGAATAACATGGGGAAGCAGTGAATGACATGGGGAAGCAGTGAATGACATGGGAAGCAGTGAATGACATGGGAAACAGGGAGTGACATGGGAAGCAGTGAATGACATGGGGAAGCAGAGAATGACATGGGGAAGCAATGAATGAAATGGCCAGCAGTGAATGACATGGGAAGCAGTGAATGACATGGGAAGCAGTGAATGACATGGGAAGCAGTGAATGACATGGGAAGCAGTGAATGACATGGGGAAGCAGTGAATGACATGGGAAGCAGTGAATGACACGGGGAAGCAGTGAATGACATGGGGAAGCAGTGAATGACATGGGAAGCAGTGAATGACATGGGGAAGCAGAGAATGACATGGGGAAGCAATGAATGACATGGCCAGCAGTGAATGACATGGGAAGCAGTGAATGACATGGGGAAGCAGTGAATGACATGGGAAGCAGTGAATGACATGGGGAAGCAGTGAATGACATGGGAAGCAGTGAATGACATGGGAAGCAGTGAATGACATGGGAAAGCAGGGGGGCTCGAGGAATAGGGAGATGGGGGAAACGGGGAGACCTGGGGAACATGGGGAAAAACAGGGAGACATGGGGAAATCGGGAGACGTGGTGAATCGGGGAGAAATGGAGAATCAGGAAACAGGGAGGCACGGGGAAAGAACCAGGTATGCAGGGAGTGACTGGGAGACACGGTGAAACAGAGAGGCATGGGGAAATAGTGAGGCATGGGGAAATATGAAGGAACAGTGGGACATGATGAAACAGGGAAATGGCGAGAGATGGGGAAAAAGGGAGTCATGGAGAACAGGCAGACATGATGAAACAGGGAGAGATGGGTTAACAGGATGACATGGGGAAACAGGTAGATGGCAGTGTATTGAAGCACTGTATTAAACGACGATATCCAATCAGCAATTGCAAGTGGGCATGCATTACAAGGCTTCACATTGCATTACAGATTTATTAAAGGCAGGATCTACAGCACTTGGTTTTCGTATTGCCTATTTTCCTACAATGCTCAAGCCTGGAGCCATCCGTCAGGAGCGCTCAAGCCTGGAGCCATCCGTCAGGAGCGCTCAAGCCTGGAGCCATCCGTCAGGAGCGCTCAAGCCTGGAGCCATCCGTCAGGAGCGCTCAAGCCTGGAGCCATCCGTCAGGAGCGCTCAAGCCTGGAGCCATCCGTCAGGAGTGCTCAAGCCTGGAGCCATCCGTCAGGAGCGCTCAAGCCTGGAGCCATCCGTCAGGAGCGCTCAAGCCTGGAGCCATCCGTCAGTAGCGCTCAAGCCTGGAGGTGTCATTTAAGGCACAGCAGCACAACAGCTTTCCCTCACCCCCTCCAGCCATCAACCACCCACCAGGCTCCCACAAACACCCTGCTGTGAAGCAGGGCGCAAAAAAGGGTAGTGCCACCGTGTTCCCCATCCACACCACACCGTGTAGCTGTGCTGTGCCTTTTACATGCCTTTCATGCCATCCCTCCATCTCATACCCCAAGCTTTCCTCTTTTCAACCTCCATTCTCATCAATTTATTTTTCAAAAATTTCAGTGATAGCTTATTTTCTTTTTCTTTTTTCGCCATATTTTCCCTTCTTTTCTTTCCATGCGTGCAGCAGTCAAGGGCGCCATGGCCGGCGTGGGATTGCAGCCGGCACGGCCTTGGACGTCCTGCGAGGCCGCTTGCCTGCAGCTTCAACTTCCACTCCGCTCACATCCCTGTGCGGTGCGGCACACTTAGGCCTGGGAATCAGTGTCGTTCCCTCCACTAGCCGTATCGCTGCTCCCTTGCTTGGTTTCGGGATGCGCGACTGTAAGACCATACTCACTGACTTCGCGCAAGCAGCCGTTGGAAGTGAAATGAGCGGGTCTGATGCAGCATTAGAAACGGCTGCATCCGACAATCTGGTAGTCGACGCTTCAGCATCCTGCGCTGCAGGCTCTGAAAGTTTGGCTTCCGAAGCTCCAGTGTCGGACGGTTCGGCATTCGAAGCGGCAGTATCAAACGCTTCGGTGGCATCAAACGCTTCAGCATGCGACGCTTCAACATGCGACGCTTCAGCATGCGATGCTTCAGCATGCGACGCTTCAGCATGCGACGCTTCAGCATGCGACGATTCAGCATGCGACGGTTCAGCGTGCGACGGTTCAGCATGCGACGGTTCAGCATGCGATGCTTCAGCGTCCGACAATCCTGGAGCATCCGACGTCACCGCCGGCAGCTCTAGCAGCAGTGTCGCTGCAGCGATGGTTGGGAGTACGAGATTGGTGCTGCTGTTGGAACTCGCACGCTGCAGGCACGAGTTTGCCTGTTTCTCGCTCTTCTTCCAAAAGCTAAGCGCGGAAACAAACGAAGGGTAGTTTGAGGCCATTTCGAAGTGAATGAACGAGGAAGCAAACAGA